ACAACAAGTCTAACCCCGGTTGTGTCATCCGGTAACCGCGGTTGGGTTGATAACTAACCGCGGTCGGACGACGACAACACTAACGGCGTTCGAGGACACGAGGCGGTCGATCGACGAAGCTATCCGGCACCGAGGACGTGACGGCGTCAGGCAGGGAAGGGGTCGGTTTTAAGGAGGAGTTGGGACACGTGGTAGAAGGAGAGGGCGGTGTCAGGCATGCGCAGGGCGAGGAAGCGCCCCATCGCCAAGACACACCCGAAATAACATGTTTGCCACGCATGTGGGTCCAAATAAATTTCTTACGTTTGATCGCGCTCGAGCGGCTCGGCCGCCGATCGAGTCACCTCCGACTCGGTTCTTTACGGAGGATTGGATTTAATTTACTTTGATCTACAATGGGGATGGTAGTTCAAGTACCCAAAAGGGCCCCGCGCAGAGTGGAGAAATTAGGAAGGTCCACGTCGCTTGCTTGCTTGCTATTCGTGTAACGCAAGCATAATTAAAGGACGTGGACCAGAGCGCTGCGGACGGTTCGGGTGCCACCCAATGGTGAGCCAAACCCTGTTCCATCCTCGAAACGGAAGTGGACCGGAGAATGGCACCGCGGGCCCACCGGGTCTTCACGCGGGACCTTATCCTGTTGCGGGTAACAAATGTGTTTCTCACTCGGTCGCCAAGACAATGATCCATCGTCGAGCACGCGGTTTGGGATGGAGCGAGGCGGTGGTATTTGTTTGGGGCGGATGGGTTCCTCTCGGTGGTTTCTGAACCCGTGCGAGCCAAGCGGCGATCCGGTCTGCTACAGTTGAGACGTGCAACCTAACGAGATGGTGACGGTCAAACCGAGCTCCACCGTGCCCGCACATGGAGGTGGCCCGCGAACCCCCTCTCCCACTTGGCACAATCGCCCCCTATCGATCATCATGGGAATGCCCACATCGGAACGCCGTGGGCTCCGATCATTGGTGTACATCTCGATAATTATTGGTAAATAAGCTAATTAACAACTTTGTTAAAGCATTCGTATCACATGAAAAGTTCACCGGTGATGGTGTGGGGAGGAGGGAACGTGGTGAGGGGGAAGCAGCCAAGGACGACAAGAACGAGGAATGGACCTACCCGGAGCCGAGCCGAGCCGAGCCGAGGGACGAGGATGGAAGCCACGTGATGGGGCTCACGGAGACCACCCCAACCCACATGGGTTGCCATACCGCGCGTCCAAAGGGCGCAGCCCACGTAGCATCGTAGCACGTACCTAACCCGTCGGCACGGCAACACAAACCGGAGGGGGAACAAGAAACAAAAACACAGAATAACAAAAACAAAACGTGTAAAGGAAAACGCTTCGCCTTAAAGCTAGGAGCAGCGGGGAATCAATAGGGGGGCGTACGGCGGCTTTCCACGCGGCGGGGCTGTCACGAGATCAGGACGAAAGCCTCCCTTCGTGCCGTACACGTGGCTATCAGACATCTGTCACGTCAGGCACGGCAGCCTTGAGAGGCGCGCAGGGCCGTGAGATGCCGCCACGCGTCGTCCGATCCGATGTCCTCCACCTCGGGATCCTCGTGGGTGGGTGGATCTTAATCGTGCTCGCCTCTTTCTTCAACCCTATTGATGACGCTACGGCCTTACCTCCCGTAGACCATAAAAAACACAAATGCACTTACTCACACGGAGGGCCACCTCGGCCCCACTCCACGTCCAATGGAAAGGCAGGTAACACGGTGGCGGATAAACGCCTCGTGTAGTTTCGGTGCGCGAGCTTCGGTAGGTACGTAACTCGCGTCGTCCACCTTCGAGAAGACCCGAAGAAGCCATCTTGTTGGGAGAGGGTCGAATCAGTATCATTATAGACGCATGGCGTAGCATTCCAGTGCTCATGGATGTAGGATATCATTTCAGGTTCAAGAACAGTAGGTTCTCTGTACATGAGCATTCATGTATTTTTTTGATCTTGGATATACTAGCTTATCAGAGCAGCAAGAGAATGGTAATGATCTTTTTGGGCCTATAAACTTGGAAGTAACATGAAATAAGCTCGATGCATTCATTCATCTCCAGCAACTCCGATCTCTTTATTGTATGCGAGAGTCAACTACATCGAATCAACTTGAAGCGCACAGAGGTTTATCAATCTCATTAAGTGCCCCACGCTGTTAATATTGCATAGTTGCATTGGAACCAATAAACAAATGAGGAGATTAGGTTGTCTGGACTTAATTGTATGTACATGTAGGCCACATAGGTCAACTATATGATGATTCAACAGTATTAGCCTTTTGCTGATTGGAGCTGTCAACTCGAATTCACTAAATACTTGCTACAATTTCTTTTTATTCTGTCCTTTTTTCGGGATGCCATTTGGATCAAGTTATCCAAAATTGTAACCAGTGAATGGAGATGCAAACATCTGGGCCTGAGAGTTCTGATGTCTACAACATCAGAGTAATGTGCGATAGTTAGGTCTTCGCGTCTCGATCCGTAAACTTGAGATTAGAATCATCAACTTGTTTGGGATCCAAACCTGCAATTGATGTAGGTCCTCCTGCTCCAGGTCTTACTTCCAACTCTTTTTCTTTCGATCACTTGGAGGACAAGATTTCAAGAATCTAAGGCCAGACTGAGAAGAATGTGGGCTGTGTATCAAGATGCCAATCGAGTCCGCAACACCAAAGGATTAGGTCTAGGTATACATCTCTGTGGGTACACGCATGTCCCACACAGCCCGTCGGAGCTAAGCCATGAAAGAGTCATTCGGATAAGAACCAAGGCTACATGTCTTAAACTAATACAAGAATTCCGGGACAAGAAAAGGTGATTCGTACTTGAGAAACAATAAACAACATGCAAGCTCTGGTAAAGACACTGCAAAAAGAATGTCAAGGCTTGCGTCTTGTTTCTTGATACCGATACCCGTGTACCAGGTTGATGGAGATCACATGTTTATGACAATACAACCAAGCTATCTTCTCTGATGGCTAGAGAGAGGGAGAGGGAGAGAGAGACCGAGTCACCGATTGTGAGGAGGCGTGAGTGCCGCTAGGTAGGAGAAGGTGGAGATCTTATCCTCTCGGAGACTGGGGAAGCACATGACATGAGTCTGACATGTCGGATGTCGGCGTCGACGTGGTTGAAAACCATGCAGCCGAAGAGAGAAGAGGCGAAAAAGAGGTGTCGTGGGTGGAGAATCCAAGAGCAGGTGGGTTGGAACTGCCTGCAAAAATCTAGCCAGAAGAGATCTTTTTGAGTGCACGTGGTGAGACAAGTGGATGGTGTAGGTTATGGAACAGTGGGTTCCTTCTTATCATGAGTTGGTGATTCCGATGAACTCTTCCCTTCGTATAATATTGCCCAGTTCTCGTCCAAGTGGAGTTCCTTTTTCTGGTTCTCTAGGACATCATGTCTGGTCGAGATGGAGTGTTCCATGCTGCTCTATATATTATTCTTGTTCCAGCGTATCCAAGATAAGTATCTTGAAAATGCATATGTGAGCATATTGCTGATGCAAATTGAAATAAGAATTGATTCTTAACCTCATTATGTTAAGCCAGTATAATAACAAGTATATCGAAGAAGAAGAAGAAGAAGAAGAAGAGGAGTCCTTTTAGGAACAGTCAGATCAGATCCTTTATGTTCATTCAAGTGTGGTAACTTTTTATCATATGAAATTTCATGAACCGAGAGATCCAATTATCTTATTTGGGCTGAAAGGAACTTTTGCTTCTGAAGAATAGATGTTCAGAAGACGGGGAGCTATGCATGAAGTCAAGCTGAACTGTGGTAGTAAGTAGCCAATACCTCCGATCTCTAGAGATGACAACTGAGTTCCAAGGATCAAGGTAAGGCTCAGCTTGCTGATGGAGACCAATCGCCTGATGACATGGGGAGTTCTAAATCTCCGCAAGAAGGATCTGCTCTTATACAAGTAGAGAAGTTGGATTCAAAAGGTGAGCATGGTTTCAAGTCACAGGAACAGTGCCTAGATTCAAAATCCGAGCTCTTGGATGTGTATGCAGCTGCCAACTCTTCGATCGAGGAGGGTTTCAACCACATCCAGAGGCCATGAACATGATGTGAAGTGTTCATGGATGTAGCATTCTTGAGTCAACAGCAGTTAGCTGATATACTCCTATTGATTATAATGTTCTTTTTTATAGTCTAAAGTGTGATTCTTCACTTCATATATTTCTGTAGCTACATCTATAGTAAGAAATAAACAATAAATGCCCCATTCATTTTCTTAGAACATCTGAATCGTGAGATAGGTCTGCAGCACCAGAAGAATGAGAGGCTGTTGCTTCTTGGGGGGATGAAACTGAAACAAGTGTGTAATGAACTTCCTGAGGATGGATGTAGAGATACATATAGATCAAATAAGTAGACATATGCAACACAATTATGAAACAAAAATATAAAGCTTAAAATATATTGAAAAATTGAAAAACTTTGAAATGGCTGTGCAAGAAAAGTATCATTCTAAATTATAATACTATAGAACAGAGATATGGGTCTTTTGAGTTCTCAAAAAATGATAAAACTTTTGGAAATTGCCAAAAGAATGAATATATTGATATTGTTTAATGTTATATACTTTATTTATAATATTTTGTCCATTTTCAGGTATGAAAAGTGGAAAATGAGAAACATTTGGACTGTGAGCGAAGCCCACAGGTACCATATGATCACAATTATTATTATTATTATTATTTATTTATTTATTATGTGTGGATGGCCCGGGCGGCCCAATAACCCCTTCATGCTTTGATACGTGTGCAGAGGTGTGATTGGCACCTTTAAATGTCGTGCTGGGAAGGGTGCCCGGAATAACATGTTTAATAATAAGAAACTCGAAATAAAATGTTTTCCGATTTTTGAAGTGTCGGCTGAGATCTCTCATCAGACGGTCACAAATCGATCATCACGATCCAGCCTCGTCATGCGCCAGCCGTCCGATGCTCACCCGACTCATCATCATCATCTCCGGTTTCCGGTGTTGCACCCAAATCACGGTAACAAGAAATAAACCGATCGGTTTTCCGTTTGATCCGAGCGAAGAGCCAAAAAAGAGTAAGAAGAAGAAAGGAAGACGGGGGAGGTGGGGGTGGTTAACCGACCTCGCCGTCTCTCCCTCTCTCGGCATTCCGGTTAAAGCTGATCCGCCACCTCCGAACTCGATGGAGAGCCTGCACCTCCGTCGCCGCCAGCCGCCCCCGCGGCCTCGCGACGCCGCTGGGTCTCTCGTCTTCTCGTTCCTGTTCGTCGCTGTCTTCTTCGGACTCGCCTGCTTGGCTGGGGCCGGGGACTCCGATGCGGCCAACGCGACCGAGGCGCTCAAGGGAGAGGGCAACAAGGAGGGTAGCTTCGCCGACATGATCGACCGCGCGCTCGAGAAGGAGTTCCCTGAGAACGAGCAGAATGGCGGAGGTTCGTGCAGATCTGAGCTCCTCGTCTCTTTTGCTCTTTGTTGGGAGGGTGGGTTTCTTGATGCGTGGAAATGTGATCGGAGAGGAGAATTTGTTAGGGTTCTTGAATTGGTGGTTCCCGATCTCGGTTCTTGATTTCGTACTGAATTCTTGAGTAAAGTGGGTGTATTACCACGAAAACATTTCAACCTTCTGCTCTATCAATTAGGGTATCTATTTCTTTGCTCAAATTAAGTTGCAAAACTTGTTGCGTCTTTGGCTTTCTTGGATGCTGAAATTATACAATGGAATTTGGAGTTCTTGTGGAGAAATGGAGACTGGGAATTATATTGCTGATTCTAAGGGCTGCTTAACAAGTTCATATATTAGTTAGTTTGTGAGATCTTGAGTAATTAAGGTAAAATTTGATTGTGGCTCTGGGGAATGTTGGTCACATTCGAGGATCTCGGGCCCCGTTTGTGGTAATTCAGTTAATGTATTGTTCTTTACTTAACGATCTTTCAAGTTTTTAAGGGTTCATAAAGTGAATTTTCTGATCCTTCAAATTTTCACCATTAAATTCTTCTACATGCCTATTCTGTTAGATGTACAACTGGATTTGATCAATTTAATCATTTCACTTGTTCTGCAGAAACTGATCCTGGTGGCTTCAACAACAGTGTTGCCGAGAAACAGGTAATGTTTGTGTAACATTCCGTGGTTCTCTTTTCACACATGTAAGCAACAAGGTTTTCGTTTTCCTTCAGTTACAAACAATATGTCTGTTTCTTGATGCCTTTATTGATTGAAATTCCCTCCGGAGATGGGTCAATGAACATCTTTACATGGTCTACTTGTATTGATGGGTAGTTAGTGGTTCATTCTTTGTTGTTGTTGCGGGATGAATTTTTCCATCTTATTTGTTACACTAGGTTGTGGAGACTAGCATTTTATGGTTGGTTGAGAGACGATTCTTTGGAATCAACTAGATTATGTAGTAAGAATCCGATGTTCATGTTGGTAGTAGTGTAGGATAGCATCTTTTAAATTATGCCTACATGATCTAGATCATGGTTAACAGCTTTTAAGGATTTATGCCTGTGGCTATCGCGGTTGGGAAGCCACATTTGGATGGCAACAAATCTGGAGATGCTAAGCTACATTATCACATGCGAATTTATTGTTTTCAGACTTATGTGCATATACAGATGTAATTTTTATGTTGTTAAGTGCTTAATCTAAGATGATAAACTGCTGTATATGTTGTATCTATGAGCATGTAGATTATACAGTATATAATTTGTTCTCTGACTGCCTGGTACCAGTCTAGTGCATAAGGTATTTGGAAAATACAAAAGAATTTAAGTTGCCGTTAGTTTTTGATTCAATGTTTTTTCTGTTAAAGTTTAACAAGATGCATGGGAATCATTGATTTAAAAAGAAAATAGAAGAATGATGACAAGAAACCATGTCAACAAGATTATTTAGTCTTTGATTTATACATACTTGAATATTTCTTACTGTCACTGATGCAAACTGTACTATTTAATGGCTCATAGATACTTTCCATCTCTTTCATGGTACTGATTGGTGCTGTTTCTATTCAATTGCTTGCGTCGGTGATTGCAGCACTAACTCTGATGTTGCCACCTATCTAGCAGCAAATTGTTGGAAGCAGGCCTATATTTTTGGTGAATGTTTTTTGTTTAGTTTATAGGTTCATATTATTTCTTATATTACTGCTTGGTGCTGAATTTACTTTAGTATACATGGTGAACTTCTGATGGCTTGGATTGTTAATTATCATAATTGGGTTGGATATCTTTTCCTTTGAGTAAGCTCTTTGAGAATGCGAAGTGGATCATTACATATCTCTGAGTTTCTTTTTCTGCTTTTCTTTACCAGGCAGTTCTGGAGACTGTAGCTAGAGTTACAACAAAGAAGAATGAAACTAAAGAAGAGAAGTATGTGATTTTCTTGTTAAATATTTTTTACTTATACATATATGTTTCTTTTGAAATAGTTTTGTCTTTATTTTCCCATATTTAGTCAGTCAGAAAGATGTTAAGCATGACTTTTTTAGCCGACTCTTTTAATCCATTTTATTCTTCTTTCCAGGTCATTTCAGTTTCAAGATGTTTTTAATCTGGATAATGAGAACCGAGCGGAGGACATTCCCACCTTAATAGATCGCAAGGTGGTACAAGTTTGCAGAAAACCCTCAATCCTACATGTTAGGAATTTCTTTGGATACACATTGATAAAAGAATAATTCTCTATTACCAATGTGCTTATGTTTATTTTGACAGTTACTTTCTCAGTGAAGGTATTCAATGCATGATAAATTTTGTATAACAGGATAACGTTTTCATCATATCCAATCCCAAGTCAAAATATCCTGTGCTACAGTTAGACCTGAGGTGAACATTATGAGACTATGAGGTAATGTTGAAGTTTTAATACCATGACTTGTTTGTGTGACATACTAGAACATTGTTTCTGCAGGTTGATTTCTGATCTCGTGGTCGTCATTGTCTCTGCAACATGTGGTGGAATTGCATTTGCCTGTGCAGGACAGCCAGTGAGTAATAAAAAATCGATGTTCTTATTTCTATAATTTATTCATTGATTTTGATAAACTAATGAGGTTTCGCCCTGTGCCTCATGTTCTTTTATTGTGGGTTGTAGTTGCATTTTTCTCTACCGCATGTCACCGTTGTCCTCTACACAGGAATATATTTGTTGATTTATGAGTATTTCAGGTAATTACTGGTTACTTGCTTGCGGGATCAATCATTGGACCTGGAGGTTTTCGTTTCATCAGTGAAATGGTGCAAGTAAGGTGCCTTTGCTTTGTCGACAGTTACTTTTTCTTTGTGGGAGTAATGTAACTTTGGTTATTCACTTTTATATCTTGTTTCTAAAAATATAATTCTCTTTTTTACCCATTGTCAACATGAGCAGCTCTAACTGTTCACTTTTATGTATATATGAAATGCAAAATTTTGACTGTGTTGTTTGGTTACTATGAAAAGCCAACAATTGTTGCTTAAAAGGACCTAAGAAAAGTTTTGACCTGGTTATGTGGAAAAACTTGTTTTAGTCAATAATAGTAGTTATTGTACAAAGTTATATTTTTCCTTATACTATTTATTGAATTATCATTAGAATATTCATTAGTATTAACTTTGTTTTATATGCTACTTGCTTACTGCACTACGATGGAACTTTTATTTGTAGGTTGAAACAGTAGCTCAGTTTGGCGTGATTTTCCTTCTTTTCGCCTTGGGTCTGGAATTCTCTATAACTAAGGTAATCTTGTCAAAGATTTTCTGTGTTCTGCTATCTTGCTGTGGAAGATTTGCACAACTCATATGCTACATCTTGATTCTAGTTGCCGTTGCATTGCATTTACAGCTTCGGGTTGTTCGGGCTGTGGCTATTGTTGGAGGCTTTCTTCAAATTGCTCTATTTATGTGTTTGTGTGGGATAATTGCGTCGGTATGTTTCAATCTTCCTTCTAATAGCAGTTGTATTTGGCAATATCCGTTTTAGTATCATACAATGCATTATTAATTTTGCCTATGCTGCACCTTGTGAATTTTTCTGTCTTGCACTTTGGAAATGTATAATGTTCTTGTTCAGTTGGCACAATGCATTGAGATACATATATGCTGTCATTTGATTGGTGTCATTCTTGTGGTTCTTGTTCATGGCAGTGATGTTTTGATGGATACCTTTACAAACTGCAACAACCTATTACAATGCTTCATTTTTTATTACCATTTCAATCAATATGTTGGGCTATGAAAGGCATTTCTTATGTTGCAACTGGCTGACACAGGAGAGATTGTTGGTCCAAATGGCTCCTTCAAATTCTTGATCTAAGCATGGGAATAGTGACTGTTTCAGGATCCTTGATCTGCTTGGTAAAATATTGGCTGCTAGCATCTGTATCTGCTCCACTTGCCAACCACTAGTAAATTTCATCTTTAGCTTTCACCATATGGTGGTCTTTAGGACATTCTTTTACATGCAGTGATTTAAAAAACGTTAGGCGTCAAAATGTGCCAAGGTCCCAAAACTCTCGAGGCGCTTGCCTAGGCGTCCACCCGAGCGAAACAAGATGCTCCTAAATATTATAATTAAAATAATATATAACTAAATAGAAATATGCTAAACATGTTTATCAAGACCTATGTTAGAATTAAACTGCTCCAAAAGCATCTTGTTAACCAGGAATGTTTTGTTGCTCTAAGACATCATCAAGTAAAAGCTAAGGGAGTTTCATGTATAAATCAAAGTGCATATTGCCCATGGTGTTGTAGATATAATAGGAAGGTAGGGGAATGGATGAAGCAATTTAATTAATAGGAAGGTGGGGGAAGCAGAGGGCGGCGAATGAAGGTAGCAGACGATGTTGTTGACAACAGTGGACGGAGCTTCAGCGTCGGACGAAGCGTGCGAAAGCGACAAACGAAGGCAATGGAAGAGGTTGCCATTAGCGGCGGACAGAGCTACTACAGCAGTAGACAGAGCTATAGCGGCAGAAAAGGTTTAGGGTTTAGACGAGCCATAGTGGCGGAGGAGCTACAGTGACAGATGAGTTGCAACGACGACAGTTGAGCTGCAGCGGCAAACAAGATTGGACGAGGTTGCCGACGACGGCTGGCAGAGCGAATAAAGGCAATAGATGTAGGGTTTCTTTCACCTTTGTTTTCTTTTGCTGGGTCATGCGAGGGAGGGGGTTGGACGGTGTTAGGATAACTATGTTAGTTGGTTCGATTGAACCAATTTGTAAGTCCAATCGAATCAAATTTTGAACTTGACCAAAGTTGGCTTGGGTGCTCGCTCGAGGTGCCTGGCACCTGGCTCAGGCGAGCGCCCGAGTAGCACTTCATTGAAGCGCTGTGCCTGGGGGTTTCGCGAGGTGCTCGGGCCTCGCCTCGCCTCACCCGATCGCCTAGGTAAGTGCCCAAGTGCCTTTTGAAAACGCTGTTTATATGGTTATCTTATCTAAGGAAGGCTGGCTGTTTAGAACTTGTGTTCATCATAGTAACAGTGCTTCCTTTAGACATTTGTAGTGCCTTCTCTTGTTCCCATCTATTCGTAAAAGCTAAATAGCATAATCAGATATTTTGATATCGCCTTGTTATCATATATAAAACTGATTTAAATACAGGATTGGGTTTGTTTAAGGCCATTTTTATGTGGATTATGAAATTCAAGTTATTCAGTAATAAGATTCTGACAACACTTCTGTGTGTGGTGAATTGATTGACAAAAATGTCTATGATTAATCATAAATCATATTCAGCTGCCTATCAAAAAATATTTTGAACTGTTTCCTTAAGAGTTTTAAGGCAAATCTTTTGGGTCACCATTTCTTTGAGCATCTTTATTTATGCAGATTAGTGTAAGTATTTTAAAGGACTTTGCATAGTTTGGATCTTTAACTTGAAATGTCTATTGTTTTTTTAATGACTTTCAAAGTGACTTTTTTTTTTTTTGATAAGATTTGAGTATGATTAGTGGCTCATGTTATTGTTTGTTCTTCTCATTGTGGAAAAATGGTTAGTTTCTTGTTTAACTATATTTTTGTTGCTATTTTGCTATTTACCGATTGTTACTGGGATATAATAATACTCTTTTGCACTGAAGTTTGTGTTCATCAAGCTTTATTCATCATCAATTGACACCAAACCATATGCTGCACTGTTATGCAGTTATGTGGAGGCAAAACTTCAGAAGGAATATTTGTTGGTGCCTTCTTGTCTATGTCATCAACTGCTGTGGTGAGTTTACTCCAAGTGCAATAAATGGAGTATATCTTTGCTTGGAAATGCATTTCTCTATGTTAGCTGCATATGTATTTTTGTAATGTAATGCATAAAAAAATGGCATTTGTTTGAGACTGGAGTTCCATATCAATTTCTATAATAGTGAATTATTATAATTTATAAGTTGCTTCAGGGATAGTTAATACATGTATAAAACGAAAATGATGAAGAGAGATTCCTCTTAAACTATGTACTTTAGCTGTTACTTCAAGTGACTGCAGTTTCTCATTCTTTTCATATCTTAGGCTTTCTTTCCCAAAGATGAAATACAATTTGTCTTATCAGCTAGAAACTTCTATTTTGCAGAGATGAAAGACAATTTGAATATGTATTCTGGTGCCATGTGCCACTGGCTGAAGGTGGTAGAGTAGAAAGATCCTGCTCTCATGCTAACATGACCAATTTATTATTTTCTTTCCTGTTTTATATCTTTAAAGATAAGGTATCAGAAGTGATGCTTTTGACTTTTTTTTCTGTGAGTAGTTATTTTCCCTCTGAAATTTCTTGAAGCAGAAAATATTTGCTCCAAGAAATTTTAGAGGCAGAAAGTACTGGCAGCCTTACTTAGCTTCTGTTCCTCACTTCTTGAGTGGTTGATTGTTTCTTCTCCTTTTTTCCATCACTATTTCCATGACCATTTAGTTTCTAGAAAAACATGGAATAAAATGCTCTTATTTGTTATAAATAGCTTGAAAAACAAAAACAGAATGAACCTGCCAGAAGTGGAACATTTTTCTAATAATGCAACCAATTCATGCAGGTTTTGAAGTTTCTGATGGAAAGAAACAGTGTTAATGCCCTTCATGGTCAAGTTACTGTTGGGACCCTCATACTCCAGGTGCTGTGGATTAAGTTGTGAAACAAAAATTTCTCGTAATATTTTTACCAGTGGTGCTCTTTGCATTGACTGGATATCAGTAGAAGCCAGGGAAACTTGCAGCTGCAGATATACTCATCTTTTTAAGATCCTGAATTTATGTTTAAGTTTCAATTTTATGCTAGGATTGTGCTGTTGGCTTGTTGTTTGCACTACTTCCAGTTTTGGGTGGCACATCTGGTATATTTCAGGGGCTTGTATCAGTTACTAAGTCGTAAGTAACACCTCTTTCCACATGTTGTTTTGTTGCTAAATTGCTTTCCTTTCAGTTGCTGCTTTGTTGTTATCTGGAAGCAGTGCACTTTTCTGGATGCTGAATTTACAAGAAAGCAATTGTTTCGTATAGTTGGTGTTACACTTTTCGGTTGTTTTGTGTATTGTAACTTACTAATCACTTGGGGCATATCATTCTGTGATCCACTGTTAAATTGTGTCATATAACACACTGTATGCAGGTTGTAGTAGTTCCTCAATAATTTGAGTTCTTAGTAAATTGTCTAATTATTTTAGTTTTATTGAATAAAATTATGTCAAGATTATGAATTCTTTTTGTTGCTCTGTCATTTTATGCTTCTTATTAAATTGCTCAAATGGAAATGGGAGTTGACTGCTTTCGTTGAAACTGCTACCAGGTTGGTTGTGCTATGCACATTTTTGGCAATACTTTCTATATTATCCCGTACATGTGTGCCTTGGTTTCTCAGGCTGATGATTAGTCTTTCATCTCAGGTATCTTCCAACTAAAATACTATTTATATAATCCTTTCTCCATTTATCATGCTCAAAATCAGACTATTTATTATAAACTTTTCTCCATTTTTCATGCTCAAAGTCTTCTAATACATGGGGTGTGTGCATAATGTTCACTGACTTGCATGTTCTTTGTGCAGACCAATGAACTCTATCAATTGGCATCGGTGGCATTCTGTTTACTAGTTGCTTGGGTTCGTCTCCAATTACTTTCAGTTGTTTAGCTTTTTCCTTACATTTTCTCTGTATGTTAGTGCTAATTTCTTTGTCTCTGTTGTGGTAAATGATATCTGATAACTGCCTTTTGCATTTAAACTATTTCATGCTTAAATAAGATTTGCTGTAAGATATCAGTCACACCCAGATGAGAACTCGATCAATTAATATCTTGCGGACTATTTTCTTAAGGCAAATATTTTTAGTGGCACATTAATTACAGTTAGCATCGGGGTCAGTGGAGGGTTCAAATCAAGATATGTAATTTCGAATAATACCACTCGGTACCGGCGGTATGTACAGGTCTGTCAGCTTACCGGTACACGGACCGCCCGTTACTGGACGGAACAAAAAAAAAAAAAAAAAAATATATATATATATATATATTTATAAAAATATATATAAATATTTTTGGCCTTTTTCGACGATGTCACCGAGGCGACGCGACGTCGCCTTATATATATATATATATATATATATAAACGAGGCGATGTCGCATCGCTTTGGCGACGTCGCCCCGCGTGGGAGAAGGAAAAGGCGACGTCGCCCCACGTGGGAGAAGGAAAAGGTGACGTTGCCAAGGCGATGCGACATTGCCATACATATATATATATATATATATATATATATATATATATATATACCAAGCGATATACCGAACGGTATACTGCTCGATATGCAGTTTCGTACCCTAGCGAGCGAACGTTGAAACTCCGGTACGGTACGAAATTGTTATCATCTGGTTCAGACAAAATTTGGTATCATCTGACTACTTAAGTACCTGTTTCTAAATCATTTGCAAGTTAGGTAAGTTAGCATAGTGGAACCTTTCCTTGCACTTTCTCTCTGAAACATGAAAGCATTGGTTTGACATTTCGGGTTCTAGACCCTAGCTTCTGGGGCCAAAAGGTGGATCTTTTCTCATCTTTCAGAGGCAAAGTTGGAAATGACAACAAGAGTATCAATAAGGACATTGTATTTGGGATTTACTTGGGTAATCTTATGCAAGCTTGTTTTCTAGATTTCCAATATCCTGCACTCAAGTACGACAATCTGATACTAAACTTATGTTTTTTCCTCATTTTCTGATATTGTAAATTCAAGCATGAAAACAAATTAAGTTTGTGCATCTGTGTTGCCTTTGCCTTGTTTACTTCATGGATACTCTCTAATTCTGTCAAAAGCTGTCTTATATTTCGTTCTTGCAATTATGTTTTTTCTTCTATAACTATCATCTATGTGTTTATTTGCCCCTGCCTTCTACTCTGAGTCTTCTGAAACATGAACTTAAATGTTCATCACGTCCAAGTTCTGTTGCATCCTCTTGAAATTCATTTATACATTATGGAAAATGGAAACTGTGTTCCTTGGTTAAGTGAACATATCCAATTTTTTTTGCATCCTCTTGGAATTCATTTATTCATTATGGAAAGTGGAAACTGTGTTCCTTGGTTAAGTGAACATATCCATTTTTTTTTTGTTATTGTTGGGAACAGAATTACGTGTTCACAGTGTAGTTTAAAAAAAATCCAATTGATTGGTGCTTTGAATAGTCATTTAATTTTCTTGAAGTCATCTTAAATCCCTAACAGTTTTTCTATTCACATGTTGGTAGCTATTGTAATTGAGCAGATTATGTGGCTGAACTAGGAACAATCAAAAAAGGAATTGGAGTTTTCTTCAGGTTTAAAAGCCACAACAAATGATCAGTATTTTGGCATGGAACCAATATTTGAGTGTCCTAAAGTTGCCATATCTGTTTTTAGTTGGGTGTAAACTGTAAAATGTAAATATCCTGAAGGTTTCTCTCTGCCTCAGATCTATATCTTTTAGTAGGTTAGTGAATTTTGTGATTAAGGACTTGTTGCTCATCCCACCAATTCTAGGACTGAGATATCTATGTTAGTTATTTCTAAAGGATCAATGTATTTTTGTGGCAACTCATTAGTTTAACTTCATAGCTCTAGAAGTTTGTGCCTAATGATGTTATGAACTTGTCAGGTGCCTTCAATTTTACTACAAACTATTTCAAATGCTGCTGTGTGGATGCATTTCTTATTGATTGTTTTGGTAATTATCTCAGTGTAGTGACAAGTTGGGCCTGAGTCTTGAATTGGGTTCATTTGCTGCTGGAGTAATGATATCAACCACAGATCTTTCACAACATACCCTTGAGCAAGTAAGGACATTTTTATTACTGTTGTTGACTTGTTTCACATAAAACAGAAAGTTATGACACTGATTATGCTTCTCTTTCAGCCTTTTGTCATCTGAAGAAGTAGATGGTTTTACTCTTTACTTTTGACTGATTTTTTTAATTCATTTGATTGGATTAAGCTTTTGGTTTTAATTTTGCCACCTGTTCGGCTTCAATGAGTGTGGTAGCTTCCATACTCTTGTTTCCACGAACCACGTGTCGAAGTGCAAAAGTGTACTACTTCACTGAAAGAAGCCCTTTTCATTTTGCAGGAGCAAAAGTCAACTTCATCATATATTTGGTAAATAGGAACTTACCTAACCCATTTTTAATGAATGGCCCACTTAAACAAGGTTAATTGACTAGAAGATCAGTGGTGTGGGAAGAGTTAGATGAGGAACTAAGATAACTTATTAAAATAATAAAGGAGATTCCGTTGCTTTTAGTTTGACTGGTAATAGATAGAGCCCCAAAACTGGAAATGATCCATGTAGACCTCATAGTTGGGAAATTATGGCATGTTGTTGTCCTAGTACTTGAAATGTTGAAATACCTCTCATCTTCAATGGGTGAATGTACTGAACCTGACAGTTGTTTAACGATGCCAAACACATTAAATATCCCTTGACCCATTTAAATTCAGTTCAGTTGCACTAAACAATCAACACTAACATACATACTGAGGTCATTGGAACTGCAGATCCAAATCAATTAATTCTGTGGAGACAAAGGTGATTTCTAGTTCATGGATTATACTTACAAGTTAAACCTTTTGCTACTTTCCATCACTTTATCTCTGGTCAAAATGCACTTGGTTATGAAAGAAACTAAGTGTTGTATTGTGCATGTGCCAGCACACTACTGGTGTTGACTGGTGAAAAGTTCATTAATTATTATGAGAAGATCAAGAAAAAAATCTAATATTTATGCTTCATTTTATGGGAGTTATGAAATTTTATCATCACTTTCCTTTTATGGTAGTTTGAATATAGTAATGTGCTCTTATACTCATCAAGTTTGTTGATTATCATTTTTCTTTTATTTATTCAATGTATATTCTCTTATTTCAGGTTTGTTTCTTTCTGCAGATTGAACCTATCCGCAACTTCTTTGCAGCTCTTTTCCTTGCTAGCATTGGGATGCTAATTCATGTCCACTTCCTTTGGAATCATGTAGATATCTTGTTTGCAGCTGTAATCCTGGTAATCATTGTTAAAACAGTAGTGGTTACCATTGTTGTAAAAGGATTTGGCTACAATAATAAGACATCACTTCTTGTAAGATTCTAACTCCCTCGTACTTGTATGTTTAGTTCCTTTTTTCATTTTATAAGCCTTCTCTAATGCCTTCTTATGTAGGTTGGCATGTCTCTGGCTCAGATTGGAGAATTTGCATTCGTTCTTTTAAGTCGTGCTTCAAATCTTCATCTAGTTGAGGTAATATAATTTCTAGTTTCTTTTGTGTTGATTCATAATGATTAAATTACTAAATTCAATTAGATACAGGCTTGAATGTTTTCATTATTGAACTATTCATCCAAACACAATTTTGGTTTCTTTGGTCAACTAAATATGTAATAGCCGACATGATGCTCATTTGATATACATCAAAACTTCATTCTTCATATATGTGTGTGTGTGTGTGTGTATCTATATATATATATATATATATATATATATAGCTTTGCAGAGGACCACTATGTCTGGTGCAGCTGTAAGGTGTTATTAGTTAAAACATAAATTCAGGAATGCAGGTTGATGAGCAGGTCATAATGCTGCTCCATGTTGACAATAGCTGGTTGAGTTGTTCATGCATATATACACTTTAGGTTCTCATATGGTTGTCTTTTCAATATGCAGATATCAATATTTTAACCATGAATCTTTTTAACTGGTAATTAAGTCCTTGTAATCATGTGACTTCTTTTACCAAGTCATGTGACCATAAGATTGTTTTTTTGCTTTTGACAGGGTAAACTGTATCTCTTACTTTTGGGGACGACTGCACTTAGCTTGGTATGTAGTTCTTAAGAAGTTTATCCTTTGGAATGTGGTAATTAAATACAACAACTGCCTGTTAGCTACTGCTAATAACATATTACTTGAGCATAGGGCTTCTCCCTTCATATCTTTCACCTGACCTTTAAATTGACAATTATTCTTTGCTTGAGATGGGTGTCCTAAAGCGTCCTTGTTACACATGCCACGCTAAAAATCTCATGTTTTCTTCTTCTTCTTTTATTTTTGGCTTCAAGCAACTTCACATATTTTTCAGGTGACCACTCCATTGTTGTTCAAGCTGATCCCTGCAGTGGTTCATCTTGGAGTTTTGCTGCGGTGGTTCAACTCTGATAGCAGTGAGGTAATGAAGTCATTTCATTGACCGCTGCCATTGTTGGATGTTTTTGGTGTTCTGGTTGATGGTAATAATCCAGTTCCATGTGCAGTTAGGGTATAAAGGTGATTGCCTTCGTTCTGATAGTGCAAATAAGCGCATAGCTTTGATGATTCAGGGTTCTCATGATTTGTGACAAGGAATTCACAAGAATGCATGATGGAGCTAGAATAGCGACTTTGGTCCACTAGCTTCATTAATGAATTGAGTCGAGATCCATGTTACCTCAAGATCCATATGAAATTTCAATATCATAAAATGGGATCCCCCCCGAATTGCCTCTCATCTGGACGGCAGAAGGCTCTCATTCGGGTTTGGAGGTTGGCTGGCGCTTGATGGGATGGCATTCATCCTATGCCAGTGCAGATTTTGGTGTAAAGTGCTTTTGAAATGTATGTCTAGTTGGGGTGATATATAGGACGGTTGAGAGAAATGACATAATACCCAAATGTATTCATTTAGACAAACTGTAGAAGAGAATGTTGATTTGGTGCAGCATATATACTGTTTTGCGGGTTGATTTCTTAAAAGAAAATTTGGTTCGTGTTGTATGCAGACGCATCCAATAGCAAGACAGGAGTTGGAAGTACCACAACAGGCAAGAGGAACAGAGAAATCAGCCTCGAAATATGTCGAAGTCGTCGACGTAGGGCAGGGGAGGTCAACCTAATTCAATTCAAGAAGCAGACATATAGAGATTATTTCCAAGGTCTATTCCCGTCCTCGTTTTGATGATGGTGTTTCAGTCGGTATTCCTGCTCTTCCAAAGCTTTTCGTGCTATCGCCTCAGAGCAGCGGAATCGTAGTTGGCGTTTATGCAGCGACCAGACCTCATATAACTTTGGCGAGGCGACGTCTTTTTCAGTACACGGGCGGTATGTGCTGTGCAAAGGCAGTCTGCATGGTTAATGCTACTTGATCGTGGATGATGACTTGAGCTGAGGTAGATTAGCTTTGATCTCGCAAAGAAGGTGGTGGAGCGTGACGAGCCCTCGAGATGAGAACCGCAGCTGCGCAAGAGACGCCTCTCCGTATGTTTGAAGCCAACACGTCCGAGAAGATGGCTTTATTCTGATTTGACCTATAGAGTTTAGGGAGATCAGCCAATCACCGAGGGCTTCTTCAGAAACCAAGTGTTGTCAGTAGTGGATGCAACCTCTGAGAGAGAGAGAGACAACACCGCTCCTCCCAAGTCACCTACCTCCTCCAAATGCCCTTTCTCTCAAGTCCTCGTGCATCGATTTCCTCATCACAACCTAGTTTCAGTCTCTTGCCCTATCGTAAGAGACTCATCACTGCTTCATACAGCCATCTGAAGACCTATCCAATATATGACAAGAGCCAGTTGGTGTCGTGTTTTCTTCGCCACCATACAAAACTTGAGCCACTTTGGGTTAATTACATATTTATATTATTTTATATAGTTAGATTTCTTTAGTATCTTCATCTTTATAATTAAAAATTTTATATTAAAATTTATATAATTATAAAAATAAAATATCTAGTTCTATTTACTCTAACGTCATTGGTTTTACCAATAAAATACGAAAACGATAAGCAAAAAAGTAATATCAATGTCTTAGTTACGCTATTGGGTCACGGATGACTATTATGGATGAGGGAGAGCGATGATAAAAGGTGACTATTACGCAAGTGTTGACGCTCTGCATTTAGGTTGACACAGATGTAGAGCAACGAAAAGACTGCTTGATATCTACATCAGTATCGAGCGATCCTTTCATCGCTTTATATCTGTGTCGATGCTAACAACAATATAGGGAATGACGATGTCACTCAACATCTGCGTCGGTGCCGACGCAGATGCTAAGCAACCATTTTATCGCATTTGTATTGACATCAACGCAGATGTAGAATATCAACCTCTACATCATCACCTCATCTCTTATCGTCGCTCTTTGTCTACATTCATAATAGCTGATATGTTAAAGTTATCTTTTTGTCTATCATTTTTGTGTCTTTATTAGTAAAATTTTAAAAATAGAACTACTTTCATAATTTTAAAAATTTTAATATAAAATTTTTAAGTCTAAATTGAGATACTAAAGAGGTATAATATGCAATTAGTCCAATACGCATGTCTCGTGCAAAGACATTACATTATATATTACATTATATATATATGGTGCCAAGCTTCCACCTCTCTTCTCAGTACTCGAGTTGCTTGGTTTTGTTGTGAGCGAGAGAGCGAGCGAGCGAGAGAGAGAGAGAGAGAGTCATGGAGCCTCATCACCACCCCCCTTCCCAGGGGTTGACCCAGGAGGAGATGGCAGAGCTGGAGCCGGTGATTCGAGCGCATCACACCTTCCCCCCCGCGCCGGGGACGTGCACCTCGCTCATCACGCAGCACATCGACGCGCCGCTGCGCGCCATCTGGCCCGTCGTCCGGAGCTTCGACAGGCCACAGCGCTACAAGCACTTCATCAAGAGCTGCAACGTCGTCCATGGCGACGGCGGGGTGGGTAGCGTCAGGGAGGTCACCGTCGTGTCGGGCCTGCCGGCGTCGACCAGCGTGGAGCGGCTGGAGATCCTGGACGACGACCGCCACATCCTCAGCTTCCGCGTCATGGGCGGGGAGCACCGGCTCAGGAACTACCGGTCCGTCACCTCTGTCACCGAGTTCCACAAGGAGGGGAAGGCCTACACCGTGGTGCTGGAGTCGTACGTGGTGGACGTGCCGGAGGGGAACACGGAGGAGGACACCAAGATGTTCACCGACGTCGTCGTCAAGCTCAACCTGCAGAAGCTTGCGGCGGTGGCTATGGCCTCCTCCTCGTGAGACCGGCTGCCCTCTTTTCTCTTTTCCTCTCTCTTCTATTGCACTCCTTCATTTGAATCGAATGGCTGGATCGTGTTTCTCTCTCTATCCTTGGCTAAGTTCCGTGTATGAGTATAGTCTAAGCGCTGCCACCACCTGCACAGAAGTCTCACACATCTCTCCAAACGAGTAGTTGTTGTCGATGGCGATGGAGATGGCAGTGGGAGGAGGCGGCCTTGCCTTGGTTTCGAGAGGCCCAAGCACAGGAAACCTGTGAAGGCACCTTGGGAGACATGTGACACGCGCAGCCCTTGGAATCTCATCTCCGGCCGATGACAAGTACCTTAGGAAAACAAAAACAAAAACAAAAAAAATGACTGGTACTGCTACCTTGGATTAAATAGAGACATGAGTTGAAGAGTAGACACCTGCAGCTGGAGAGCTATGGAGTAGTTGAAGAGATCACGCACCGCCACAGGACCGAGAAGGAAGTCACACGGTGTGCCAAGCCTGCATCACTCACTGTTCCAAACCGTACAATCTCAGATTTCAATTTAACAAGAAGCAGGAATATTTCACACAGATTGAGACTCGATAACAGACAGAACAAGAAGCAGGAATATTTAAGCTTGAGACTGAGTTGGAGTCAGCTTCACAGATTGAGTTGATTGCAAAATAAACGAGTATAAAAGAGCGCCATCGAGTAAACAAACAAATCCAACAATACTTCCCTGTCAGTGAAAATTTGTACACCGAAGAGAATTATCGTTACAATTGCTCATCGTGCAAACCCCACCATGAGCAATAAGTATCTGACCTCCAACTGCTCCAAATAGCAAAGGCATTCATTCTGATAATGATGTACACAGATGTGTGTTAGTAAGTATGATGTAATTAATATCAGGAATCACCAGTTCAATACATGGGGGACTGAAATGCCTCAACTGTAGGAATACAAGGGAATTGCTTGTTTAATATTTTGTTACCCTGTGGGTAGCGTTCGAAAAATAAATTGTCCGATGCTCATTACCTTCAGCCGCATAAGCTCATTGAAGGATTATTTACCAGCATCATATGAGATATCTATGCTGAACTTTAAAAATAAAAAGATCAGAACTGAACAAATGAAGATGTACAACTTTGTGAGGTTATACTGTACGTATAGAATCAGCAAGCAGCTGCACCAGAAGCAAGATATGCACAGCAAAGCAGGCCTTTGTGATTTCAAGTATTCATCAGCCTGAGTGAAGGGATGATGGATGGTTACTCTTATTCTCGGCCCGTACTGTAATGACAGCCGCTTCATCTCGGGATGGGACTTTAAGCCATGACTTCATGGCATCGTAAACTGTAAATCCTATTGCCACAGAAGGTGCAACCTAGAAAAGAAGGATATAGTTTTTTGGCAATATGAGAATATAGTTAATCAAGATAGAGAGATGAAGCAAAACGATGTTCCAAAGCTAAACGGATCCCAAGATTACAGCGTACACAAATGTAGAAGAAAAAAGGGAAAAAATCAATTCTACGCAGTTTCTCTCCATAAGGCACAAACATTGGTTCATTAACACTTTTGAAGTTCCAAGAAGGTGATTAAGATGCAGCATTTGCACAATGCGTTAAGTGAATTAATCTTATTGACGCAGACATAGGAGAGTTGATATAACACTGATCAAATGATATGTGATGCTCATTAGATAAACGATCAGAAAAAGAATTGACCTTCAAATAATTGATGCTCAGACCAGAAAATAGTTGTTTCCATCCCTGAGTTCGGATTATCATAACAAGGGTTTCAAATGTTCCCTTCCCCACTTCATTGTTAGATGTTGAGAGGGCTTGTACCTGGATGGTGTTTTGGTTTGTAACATTTCCATTTTTCTTGCTTGTAATGTTCAACATGTATACTACTGAGCAAGATACCTGCATTTGTCGTCTAACAACATCAAGGGGGTATGTTATCGTTTGCCCCAATAAACCAGCAACTGATCCACATGCAAGCTTCACAACTACATCCTTTTTATGCTCTTCAGGAACATGCATCTTCAACTCCTCATAAAAATAAAACTTGAGACCAGAATAAGGGAAGATTCCATATAATGATGGACCTGATCAGAAAAAGAGAAGTGCAAAAGGATCAATTAACAATTAGTATAAAAGTTTAAGTCCATATTAATGACTATGGAAATAATTTTTAACCATGGCCAATCTTAGAAAAACTATAACCCATTCAAGCAAATCCAGTTCACAGCACTTCACCTATCAATACTTGTACTAGATCTATTAATCTTCACTAAATATAGTCCAAGAACAAGGGACAAAATAGAATCCAGATAGACAACCACTATATGTCTTTATTTTGCTATATATTTTGGTTGGTAGCTTGGGTTTCACATTATATAACTAGGATTCTGGCTCTATGGTATATGATGGGAAATAGTCTCCTTCACTGTTTTTGTGGCAATCCTGCAGTGTATGACTTTCAATGTAGGAATAATTAGGATGTCATGATTAAGGTCATTAACTCTCACTAAGCCTATAAAGCGTTTAAGGACCCTTCTGACATGGTTGTTTAAACAAAAACATCTAGAAGACACTAAAGAATTACTATCTTCATTATGCAGCAATCAAAAGGATGAGAGACTATCATAGAAAAATTATGAAACAAGGCTCAAACAAATGGGATGTGGAAGAAAATAGTGTAGGCAAAGAGAGAGCAATCACATGGCAGTCCGCAAAGATTTGCAGGGTCCAGTCAGTGGACCTACATTCATGGATGAGGATGACAGAGGAATCTTCAGTAGTATAGATAAAAGGTATAATGATGGTGTACACCCCGATAAAATAATATCTCCAACATATCCAGCTCTCTCGAGATTTCTGAATAACAAACGGAAACAGAACTGAATGCCCTAACCCAATGTCAAAATAAATAGGTACAGTTGACACAAGAAAAATTAGTTCCAAGCCTTAGCAACCTGGGCTGAGGGCAATAGGGAGGTCACACCTTCAATAATCCATGGATTCAGAGAGTCGAGGACATATAACATTATCAAGAAGGCATGAAAATACATGTAATAGAATAAATTTAAATATATATTTACCTTAACAAATCAACTGCATACAAGAAAATCTCAACGTGTATGGTTTCACTGATCTAATGTTAGCTAAGGTGAATAAAACTGACTCCAATACAATGGACAAGTCATACATGTTAAAAAGAACTCGGTATCAGGAATAAGATACCAGATGACCATTGTTTGCCTCTTCTCTTTAGGATATTTCAATTACAGTGCTTTCTAAAGAAAAATACAATTTCTCGTACATCAAGTTATTCCTAGTTCCCTCCATCAACTCTCATAGACGGCACTAAATTTAATTACTATACCAAACAGAATAAGGAAATATATAGTCAAATCCTCATGTATCACAAGCCTTTTCAATGTCTAATCATGCTATTATGTTACACTAATGGGACATTTCAGATAAATGCCCCTTCTCCCTCAATCCTCAACCCTATCGAGAAAAGAATAGCAAATAGCTCTTCCTCATTTATAAGGCACCAAAATAATAGTAAATGTCTAAACAACCCCAAATGTGATCCTCTTACACAAAACTTTTCCCACTAGTTCTTCATTATATATAAAACATACAGTACATTTTTCATAAATATTTCATAACAAAGTACAACATAGTCCTGATAATTGACCATTATCAGGACTTCTGATAATTAACAAAGTACAACATAAATATTTCATAACTAAAGGACTTCTGAAATATATTTTGTGTACTTCGATACAATCAGGTAAATCCACATATGAAGTTGAAAGAAAAAGAAAATATCTGTCGAGTAACACATACCTACACCACGATATAAGCCTCTTAAGCCATTCTTTCTGTACATCTTCAAAATACAATCAAGGATCCCGTGATAAACCTGTTCAGAGGAGTGATAAGGTCCTCTATTTTTCAGCCTTGATGATCCTACAACCTGTAAAAATTCCAAAAACCAATTCAGATGTATAATGTGCTTAGAAAGACTAAAATAAACAGGAAGACAGTGTGAAGCTTGACACGATGGACCTAGACCTCAGACTTAAAACAGGTGCATTTTTTTCTGTAAGCAAACATAGATAAATCATATTTCTATATGGCTAGGAAATTTCATGGTCAAGATTGTTAAGAGGATATACAAAAAAAAAAGGAGGAAAAGAATTAAAACTCTTAACTAATGGTTTAATACCTGATATGCCAGCTTTGTACGTACTAAATCAAGAGGGTAAGTAAAAATAACTGCAGTTCCTCCCGCTATCGACCCTGAAATAAGATCAAGTACAGGACCTTTTCCAATATTGGGAAAACCTAGAATGATCCACCGTCGATATTGTTCATATGCCATAAAATGCAAAGCTGCATAGGGAACAATTCGAGCAACACTAGCTCCATTCCCCCTGAGAAACAAAAGTAACCGAATCAATATCCGATACCTCTGATAGCATATAGACAAGATTGACTTGCTTAGATGTCACTGAACTGTAAACTTAAATACAAACCTGTAGAACCCTAATAAACCTTCTGTCTGTAAAATCTTCCGGAAGGATCCCAACAATCCCACGCTATGAAATTCTGCCCTTCTAGTCTGGGAGTTTATAAGAAATTGCAAAGACATATACTTAACTTTTGATCCAGAAACTATAAAGGACAAAAAAGTTAACCAGAATAAATTACATAAAAGTAAAAAAAATAAAACCTACTTTTATATGCTTCAACGAACATGTGAGCTTCTTGAACAATTCCTTATTCACACTTCCTACTCTTTAAAGCACGATTTGCAATAGAACATGAGTGCATCAGCAAAACACCTCATCGTCTGTTTAGCAGTAAAATATCTCATGTTTCCACTATTCAAATAAAACAAAGTAGAAAGAAAAAGATTTTAACAAAAGATACACTTTGCTCAGTCAATGTGCAACCATGGCAAAACAATCCCTCATAATTCAATTGCGTTTCCCCATCATAGTTCATTTAATCATCACCGCATGCTATTAATTCAATACATACCACAAGGGGACACAACAAGTGTGTTTGTTGCATCTAATTGACACACTAGCTTTCCAGAGCTTCCTCCAAATCTCACTGAAAGTTTTGACTCTTGTTGAGAACTTCATGATTAAGACAATGTCAATTAAGAAGTACCATATAGAAGCAGCATGTCCATTTTCATGGAATCAAGAAGATTTATCTTTTGATATTTGTTCATGTAAATTCTAGACTTTTCATTTTACAGGATTCCATTTTCTTGTTTTAGGTGTTTTCAAGATTTCATTAGTTAAATTTTGTTAGGTAGGATTTTAGTTTAGAGATGCCCGGAGTATCTTTTCACTTGCCCAAAATATGTAATCCTATAAAATGGCATCTTATCTCACTGTAAACATTGTTCGTCTTCAATAAAGTTTCTCGATTCATTTTTTCGGTGGATTTTAAGGCTATCCTTTATGGTTTGTTATCATTTGTGGTTGCTAAGTATTTAACAAGTTTCCGACATCATTGACTAAATATGAATATGATTACAAACCCTTCCGACCCCATCTCAAGCATCATAACAACTTAACGACACTAAAAATCATCACCAAACAAACCACTCAAGCCCGTAAGTTCATATGCATTTGAAAACAAAATCAGTTGCTGTTGAAGAACTTCACACAAATCAATCACGACATGGTTTTAAATCGGTAACAAACACTATTTACTAATGTCCACTAGAATTTCTTTTACCCACAACACAAGCATCGAATAGGCAGAACCTACAGCTATATTCCTAACTGGTGTTGCAGCGACTTACCAAGAAAAGCCATCTAACCCTAAAATCCGTCTCGAATCCAACAAAGTTCGTCACCCGTAAGCACCATACAACTTTCTGACTACGGTCACGATGACCCTAAAATCAACGAAAGACACACACAAGGCGCGAGAATCGCACCTGGAACAGGATCTTGTCGCGCTCCAAGACGGCCGTCTTAGGGACGCCTCCAAGACTCGCACAAGGAGCGAAAATGGCACCTGGAACAGGATCTTGACGCGCTCCAAGACGGCCGTCTCGGGGACGCCTCCAAGACTCACACAAGGAGCGAGAATCGCACCTGGAACAGGATCTTGACGCGCTCGAGCGGCGCGACGGCCGTCTTCGAGACGCCTCCAGCGACGCCCCCGGCGACGAGCTCCTTCACGATGAGGGGGACCCCTCCTCCCCTCCAGTTCTCCTCCGCCGCCGTCGCCATCTTTCTTCCCCTCTCCTCCGCCATGGGAGGAAGAGAGGGGGTCGTCCAATTTGGGCTCCAAGATATAGAGACACGAAGTAAAGAGGCAGGTTTCCGCTTCGCTTCTTGAAAGCGGAAACGACACCAACGATACCGGTCGACGAGTGCGGGAGTTGTGTTTTTTGGTTTTTCTGGATGGGGGACGGCATACGCGGAGGGGACGGCCTGCTGCCGTGGTTTCACAGCGTACCACCGGGTCCCACGTTGACCGACCAATCACACGACGGAAACGTGACTCGGGTGCGCCACGGGCTGACGCGAAAGGTCGTGCGGTTTCTGGGAATGACGACGGACGTCAGGCTTTGCTTTGAGATTCGAGATTCGAGATTCGAGATTCGAGATTCGCGAATCCTCCTGCGACGAAGGATACGTGGGATGGGAAGTCCGACACGATTTGCCGTCTTGTGGTCGGTACGGACAAAATACGAGTGACGATATCGACCGCGGCAAAGTAATCTACGGGTGAAATCCTGGCCGTTGGATATTCTAATCGACGGTGTATAATGGTGATCACAGTACTTGGGGTTAAATAATACGAAGACAAGCGTGCGTGGCGGGTTAGGTGCGGTCTAAACTCCAATTCAAACAAAAGCAGCGGCAGCCAATTTTGTCCGTTCGATTAAATAGGTCATGCATGACTTGAGCAGCAAGTAATATTTTAAGGGAAGACCAATATCTCTAATTAATTTGGGGGTTGTTTTAAGTATGAATGTAAAATATATTATCTTAAGACCAATATCTTAAGTATGAATGTAAAATATATTATCTATGGAAGTTCAAATTTCATGGATGTTTTAATCTTTGGAAGTTCAACTGACACTAACCACCCACACAAAGTCCAATTTGAGAAGTGTATATGCCCACCATGCAAAGTTGGATAACAATAAGAACTCTCTCTCTCTCTCACTCTCCAACTTTCCAGAGTGGATTGACAAGAGTTTGGACTGGAAAGCAATAGAAACGAAGACACAATATCCTATCAATGAATCATGCGCCCTGCTTTTGGTAGATAAAGTAGCATCATTAAGGATTAGTGCGCAACTAAAAGCATCGACCTGCCTTTTCATAACATTAAACATGTAATGAAATGATGCCTTTGGAAAGAGACAAATGTAACCAACTTGTCAACCTTATTATTATGATACCATGGAATAAAAAGCACGGAAAGGGCACAAAGCTACTAATGATGGAGTACAGCCCATCTCTCTCATTCCTTATTCTGTCATCATAAACAATAACTTTACAAGGAGTACAAAAGAATAGAGTAAGATGTTACCAGATTACTGTCTACGGATTCCAGCCAACCCTTGATAATAATATGTACAGTCCAGTAACCTGGTCTTACACTAAAAGAACACAAAAAGAAACACTCTATATGTATAGGAAGTACATGTCAGAGTTTACATGGTTTGCAAAACTGATGTTGGCATTGCAGCTTGCATGAGCCCCCGTGTAGTCACAACTCAAATGTTGAATTTGAGCTCCTCAAACTTCAGCGGGTATTCGAGTCTTGATGGGCTTTAGCTTCACTCCCATGCTCTCTGGGGAAAGCAACTCCGGAGAGATGCACAATGGACTGAGGGGACTTCGCGGGCTGTAGCTCAGTTGGCTTGGACGGTACAATCCATACCCCATGAGGAAGTACTCCATTGGTATCAGCATGGCGTGGGGCTGCTCTTCCGTCACCACCGACCCACATCCCTGAACCTGCAGCATTTTTTTGGTGATGCCAACAGCCAACATAAGAATGAGCCGATGAGAAGAGATTCGATGGCGGTAGGAGAAAGGGAGTTGATTTAAATGAGTACCTCAACCAATGCACTGTATCTCTTGTCCAGCTTTGCGGACATGTGGAGGGCCTCCGAGTGAAATGGGGAGTCCTCACCCACAAAAATTAGAGTCCGACACTGAAGTTTCTTCAATGCTTCAGTCAAGTCATGTCTCCTAATTTAAGCATCAACCATTAACTCTTTGCTACCTCGTGCGTAGCAAATACAATAATTTTTTGGCAAAGAAAGAAAGGTATTATACCCATTAATTGACTGAAGAAACCACCAGACATTTGCACTCTGCTTCTCATCCAGCAACTGCAGATGGTAAAATAAATGCATGTGAGAAAAAATCCTGAAAAAATGTTACAAGTTATCCATATTCCCTATGTTCCAAACACAAAACAAAGAGTGGATAGTTACTAACACTTCTACAGGCTTGTACTATATCTGACTCGGGAACCTGTGAACTTCCTCGTACTTCCTGATAACACATCGAGATGGATAATAAATTACATGATGCAGAAAAATTGAATTAGCAGCAGAGTGAACAAAACTTAGCATACCTTACTGAAGTATCGTTGGAGTAAGTACTCCTTGACTAAGCCACACATTCCATAAAAATAGAGGAAATTTGACACTACCTGAGAGTTCAGATATGTTGTTAGCACTGACTCCCCTCATTATGGTTGGAACACTATTAAGCAAGATTATTAAAAGATACCTTCATATATAACCACTCTGACCATGAGGGAGCCTTACAAAGAGGTGAGACGAGTATCAGTCCTAGGACATGCTCCCTATATTTAGTCTGAAAGCAATGCATAAAAGGTTCTAATTCAGTAAAGGTTGCAAAAATCAGGTACTCACAGAGTTCTAATGATAAAAGACTTACAGCAAAAAGGGTAAGAATATAAGCACCAGCTGTGACCCCAAAGCACATGACAGTTTCCAACCTGGAAAGACCAAACCATTCAAAATTAAGAAATTGTCAAAAAAAAGTGACCAATTGAGTGGCCCTGAAAACAGTTATAATCATTATGGTCACAAAAAATACTACCATGTGTGTGCATGTGAGAAAGAGAGAAGACATTGTGTGTGTGTGTGTGTGCGCGCGCGCGCGCGTGAGAGAGAGAGAGAGAGAGAGAGAGAGAGATACCCAAAGAAATCAAGAACTTCTGCCACCTGATCAGCTAACTGATCTAAAGAAAGCACTGGTTCATCTGAAGAAATTGGAGCAGCACCCAACTGCAGGACTCTTAAGGTAGATGACCAACAAAATCACGTTAAAAGAATATTCAGACTATGGATTACATACAGACATCATAATATAAGCTGCAACAGAATTACTGACCTCATGACCTGGAGGACTAATATGGTATATGCAGAAATTATGAAGCAGCAAAGAAGCAGCTTCCGGACAAAAAAACAGCCCTTGAAAGCATGACATATCTGAAGAGATAATGTAGAAGGAAGTTAGGTCCAGTTTTAAATTCTAGAAGAGTGCTAAAAAGAATTATCATTGATTTTCTTAGCTGAACCATAGAAAACAAGTTACTAAAATCTAGATTAGTTTTTGTGATGATCAAGATAAATTGAATAGGTTGCAGAAGAGCACATGTCGTGTCCAAGTCACAACTGAATTAAGTGCCGCATATCCTCAAGCATGCAGAAATAAGGGAATCAATACACCTGGTAATTTATAAAAACGGTAGTAAAAGATAAATCAAGAGATTGAAACAAGCAAGTCAACATAGCATCAAGTGGAGCAGCTACAATAATCTCACAATTTCAGTTGAATAAAACATGAAAATGATCAGAACAGAAAAGAAACAAAGAAATGCTCGAAAATGGTAAAGTCATCCAACTTACGGTTTAAAGCAACATCTGGATAAGTAACAAGTGCAGGCTTTTCCAGATCCCCATAAACAGCAACTGAAATCGGACCATGGCTTGTTAACACATGATGCTCCTGAGGCAAAGAACCAATGTGTCTTAGAGCAACAAAGAAGGAACTACAGAAAGTAGATTTATTAACCTAGAACATGACAGCATGCACACAAATATAAGGTAAAAAGAAGAAAAAAAAATTAAAAAGGCAAAATAGCATTGGATGGAGAACATAGCAAGTTTATAGTAGATCAGAGATTTCATATCAGACAGACAACTAGTGCTCAAGGTCCCGAACTTTATTTCAATCATTTCAATCCATGCTTGCAAGATAGACTTCATCAGCGACATTTCTCTTGTTCGTGATGACAAAGTAGGATGACAAAGAGACTACTGCTGATAGCTTTATGATGGCATGGTCCAGGACCATGAATGCCAAAAAGAAGGATCAGAATCCTAACAGGTGAACTATCAACTCCCATTGATATGTGTTCCAACTTGAATGGCTAAATTCTTTAACTGCTCTAATTTATTTGTAAAGTAAGAAAATCTAAGGTGGCAGTTCTGTTTTCTAACTATTAAGGTCAATTCAGTTCAAATTTGTACACATGACTGATAATCTAAGTAATCGTGGCGGCCTATCACCAAAAAACGAAGCTAATATGAATTGCTAAGCCCACCTTACCCAGTTACAAAGTAATATGCAGCTGGTGCTTCAACAGAAGAAAAACTATAGTTCAAGCAAAGAATAGATTAGAACGCAAAACAAGTACTTAAGTTGACATAACAAAAGAAAATATTAAATAGTGGAAACTTAAAAGGCACCTGAAAGCTGGTTGTATGAAGTTCACTCCATTTGGAAAAACATTGCGTAATAACAAATTATTTCTAGTAAGAAAAACAATATCTCATTCAAAGAAGAAAAAAATAAAAATTTTCACAAGTCAAAAGGAACATAAACGTGTGTTTACATATTTGCATATGAATCACTCAGCTTCCAAACAACATCTGAAGAGAAACAAACAGGCAGGCCTATAAAGGATGAAGCAATAGAATGTAAACAAAGAAAGGCATCGAATTACCAAATTGCTTAAAGTCGCACGAATAAAGAGAACTGCTTTGATTAAGCAAACATTTCCGCGTACACAATAAAAAAAAGCCCTCTACAAGCAACCGAATGATAAGGAAAACACAAATTCCCCAAATAACAACCAATCCAGAGAGTAAAAGAATCAAATGATACACACACCGAGATAAAAACAATCAAAGGAACGCATTTTCGTGCCAAAATTAGCACCAAATTATGCATTTACCCATATAATCAACCAATAAAACCCAGAAAATGTAAGAGAGAGAGAGAGAGAGAGAGAGAGAGAGAGAGAGAGAGTTCTAACTGATCGAGCTAACTCTTACCTTCCCTCCAAAGGAGATCCTCTCCACGTCCACCGAGACCGATCCGCTTGATTCTCCCATTACTAGAAGAACCAATCCCCTCTTCCTCCTCTTCTTCCCTCTCGATCAATCTAACCTCCTCCTCTCGTTCACGGACGGTTTGGCATATAAATATACCTCCGAGGCTTTCCTCCTCCCGGCTTAACCCTGGTCGACTTAACCGTGGTTACGGGATAAGCATTCCGACCGACAGCTCACGTAAATTGACGAAAATACCCTCCTGAGGGCACCCACCCTGGTTCGATGGCGGGTGGTGGACGATGGCCAGCGAAGACCCGAGCCGATCTCGCGAGGCGAGAGATGCCAACGTGGTGCGTTCTGATAAGTTAAAACCCAGGCCCCTGAACATGTTCCCACTGGGGCCCGCACTTCTTCCAATGGTTTCTCGCCGCGCAGTCCCACCGACACGAAGCAAGTTTAGGCCCGTACAGGTGAGCGGGTACGTACCTGATGCCCCGTGTCCTGGCGGCGTGGCAATGACCCGAGAACACGTGGCATCCAATTAATGCGCGACACTGTTCCTGTTCAGATTTTTCATAAATTGATAAATATTATTATACATATATATATATATATATATATATATTCCAAACTTTATTCATAAATTTCTATTATGATTAAATTAATAAATCCTATTTATTATAATTGAAAGGGTAAATTTCTCGAAAAATTTTAATTTTCTGTGAACATTCTGTAGGAAGTAAAATGAGAGGAAACACACCCACACGTCAGAACTACTTTCACGGACTTTGAGCCTGATGACAGAAGAAGAAGAAGAAGAAGAAGAAGAAGAAGGAGAACAATGTTGGGATTTGCTGAATACAATATACTGGAGGAAGGTAGCAAGTAGCTTTCTGGATACAGCAAAGAATGTTCCTTTTCCTCCCACAAAAGACAGGCATTTTCCACGAGTTACAAGTAAGCATATACCTCACCATAATTGGATTGCGACCGACAAAAAAAGTTTCACGCAGATTGCATGTGTGGCAAAGCCCATGAGAGCTCAGAAGCTGCATCTACCACCCTCACCTCACCCACAGACAACGGCTGCAGCATCTTTGTCCATTCTTCCTCTTTATCTGAGATCCATCACATCCAATCATTTATGGTAGACACTGTTGCATCTCTTAGAAACTTGAATGTGTATGGAGACCTGCTTGTCCTGCATTGCTTGCTGCTGCTCTAAACTGGGATTCACCCAATCCACTGATGCATACAAAAAGTTGCAGAGGAAACCTACCACGACTCAGGTGAGCAGCAAAAAGCAGGTAGTAAAGGTGAGTTCTGATGTAAAACTTCGAAACAAAGCAGCTCAATGATCTTTGTAAACAGAGAAGCAGTCACTGACCTTTGTAAACAGGAAGAGCAATCATCCTCGGTGACAATTGTAAAGCTTCAAAAGCATAGCAGCAGTTCCCAGTCCATCCGCTAATGTACAGTAGTAGTCACTGTTTGCAAAAAGCAATGAAGGAACTAAACCAAGAACACAGAGCTTATGAAACATATCTTCATCTTCCATGTTCGTGTTCACAGGAGATGAACAAAAAGGCCTTTCTTGCCCTAAATCCCAAGTTCATGTTCACCATCTATAATGCCTGGATTTCTTCACTAAAATGTGATGTTTGGTTTCAACAGTTTACTGCACAAAAACCATAGAATAGATAGGTAAATGATTCAGCATTCTATGCAAGCAATCTTTATGTCTTTGTCACTGGGGCCACTTTCAGAGCATACATAGATGCAGAGTGAACTAATTAATATCATGTCTTCCCTACATTAAATGTTAGCACATGATAGATGCACTAATTAAAAGATGCAAATTAATCTAGGTCTAAAATAGAAATGTCAAAAAATGAAGCAAAACACTGATTTAGTTTCTTTTAGACTCTCAAGCTTCTTTTAGACAAACTGTTGCAAAAGACAGCATCCCACCAGCTATCCTTTAAGCATGACAAAGCAAAACTAACTTATCTGCCATCATAACACCAATTTCTTGAAATAAATTTCACTTTAGATTTGGTGGGATTCAACAGAAGCCTCATCTTCCGGTAACAGAAGATGATATTGGGCAGATAAAATGAAGAGGCATTCTTCTGGAAATTATACTCTTCATCCCACTAAGAATCGGACAATGAGAGTCACCATGATTAACTTTCCCATCAAATATTATGAATAAAGTGGCAGGAAAATGGGTAGAAAGTGAATCATTGTTTCTTTAAATTCATTGTCAATAAAGAAGATGACAACGATAATACGCAATTAAATCACTATTTTTGTCTATGATTTGTGCAAGCAACAATTGAGAAGTCCCAATCGGTGGTAGGATGTCTCTTACTGGTTCAGCAACTTCATGCAACCACAACCCTGTCACTTCACTCGAGGTTCTTTATCTATTTCACTTTCACTTTCTGCAGTATCAGTTAACATAAAGAGCAATATGGAAGAGTACCAAAGGGTTATTTTAATATAAATTTACAAGTATTATGCATCATTTTCAAATCAACTGTTCCTAAATTTTTTACAGAAGTATACATACCATTTGGCCTCTACCAGTTTATTCAAATACCAAATATTTTTTTTAAAATAACAATGTAAACTAAAATTTGGGTCATCAAGACTTTCAAAATTAAGACTTGCAACTCCAATATCATGTTAAAATGTTTAACCTCTATCAATTCATCTAATAGCATCAGTTAATAAAGGAAATCTGATTCATTCATTAATATTATCAAACAAAAAAATTGAAGGTAAAATTGCATATGTATATATGTATATATATATATATATATATATATATATATATATATATATATATATATATATATATATATATATATATATATATATATATATATAT